AGGAATAAAATATTAAGAAAAACTTTGTTATTAAACCGTCTTTGCCATTATAAAAGAAAAATACTGGAGATATTAACAACAATAATAATCATTTTGTAATTTAGGACTTGGGTTCTTCAACAAAATGTACAGGAAAAAATAAAGTTAATGAATTAAAAAAAAAAAACTAGCTTTGAAATTGTTATAGTTTTTAAGATTCTTGCTCCCTGTTTTGAATATGCTATGAGTGGTTCAATCAGGACCATCCAATAATATAAGTATTTTTAACATGCTAAAGAAAAAAATAAAAAAGACTGCTGCTATACTGTAAATTTTTTGAAGATTAATATAAAATTTGAAAGGGACTTCCCATATAGAAATTTATGGCAAGGTATCAACTACACCTTGAAGGTATAGCCAGAGGAATGATGCAAGTACTTTTTGAAGGAAGGCAAAAAAAAAAAAAAAAAAAGGAGCAAAAAAACAAAAAACACCTTTGGAGAAAAGGCTTACCTATCTTTTATAGGCAGCAGGGCTCTTGAAGGAGGGTCTCCAAAAAAGACGCCTGTCACAGAGCCAGAATCCTGTCCTCACCGCAGAAAGGTTGTACTGGGTGAACAGATGAACAAAATAAAAATTAGCTTACAATACACTATTCTTTTAACAACTTGGCTGAGAAAACCCATGAATGCCAAGAGTAAAGAATGTGCAAGGCTTGTAAGGTTTTAAGATTGTGAATTCAAGTGTAAGTCTAAATCTTTCTTACTGTGGTGACCACTCAACTTTGCCTTCCAACAAAAGGTTTCATAAGCACGTTTGTATTTCCTCTGATCAAGTGATGGTGCAATTTTTTCTTTTCAAAACATAGCTTTCAGAGTCACCTTCCCACCACCTGCCAAATCATTCTTCCAGCAGTCCATATATATAAAGCTATCAAAAATCACAGTCATGGTTTTCCTATCTGGCCAACAGAGGCTGGAAAGACAGCACCTGGTCTGTTTCCCTGTAGCGAGAGATAGCCAGGTAGCAAAAGTTCTAGCCAAAGTGATGGGCAATGAAATGTATGCTGGAAGACAGAGTATGTGGAGGGAAACCAAACGCTCACTAGGAAAAGCCATTTGCTCTTCCCAAGAACAGGGCTATGTGGCCAAACTGTAAAACCATCTTTTGATCATGAGATTAATGTCACATATGAAGACAGTGGCGCAGGTAGAAAGCAGTGCCCAGATTCTGGACACCTTTGTTGAACTGCTTGTCTATAGGCTTACTGTCATCAAAGAAAAAGGAGCTCCTGTTTTAGATATTAGTAATTTAAGACTTTAAATTTATAGCTAAATACATTCTTAATACACATGGGAATAAGGAAAAATTCTAAATACCCCCCAAAAAATCCAGCTTGTTTTATATATTCCTAGATATAACAGTGCCAAAATGCTAAGAAAAACCGTGGGGGGTAGGAGAGAATAGGCTAAGACAAGAAATTAAACATATTTTTAAAAGTGTAAGTGTTTGCATAGCAGGAGTATATAACGGACCAGGGGAGAAAATAATAATAATAAACTATATGCCAGAGACATTTTACTGGGGTACAGTGGGGAATGGGATCAAAAATGAGGTGTGTGTGTGTGCGCACACGCACAGGACTATGGTATTGGCACACGGGTGAACTGCTGGTGGGAAGCCCACAGGGATTATAATTGAGATGGAAAAAAGGCACAAAATGATATAAAAATAAACTATTATATTATTATGATTATTATATTATTTTAAAAAAAAAAGTATAAGAGTGTTCGGCCTATTTTCTCCAGCGGGGAAGCACTACTTCCTTTCTGTCTGTGCTCTCCTGCAATTTCTTTGGAGTTGGGGGCCTCAGTGGGGTTGAGTCTCAGTGGTATTACCACTACAGCCTGAGTTCAACCCCCCAATAAGGGAGCTGACTCACATGGCGCAGCAGACCTCTACTGACCCACCCGCTGCTCCTCTCAGCAGTGTACTTCAGTAGATCCACCTGTTCCAATCTGTCTTTGGTGAATCCTCTCACACCCACACCTCTGTTCTACACAAAATAAAATTAAAAAACAAACAAACAAAAAAAACACCACCTAGTGCCAATTACTCACCTTCCTTCAGACGCAAAATATACTGAGGTATTTATGAGATACTGGATTTGTCTAACAGTCCTTAAATTATGAACCATTTTATATGTTCCTTTATAGAAGTCTTCATTACATTAAAATAAGCATGGATTTTAATATCTCAAGACAAATACACACAACACAGACCCACAGAAATATAAAATCAAAGTTCACTACATCTTTATTCCCTAAACTTGAAAGTCTTCATAGCAATAAAGAATACCTACACTTTCTGGAAGATTTATCAGGAATAAAAAATAAGTATTTCTCACTACAGATTATGAAGGCTTATTTTATGTAGTCAGTCAATATCAGAAAATAGAAAACAGAACATCATGACCTAACTTTCATACTGTGTGACTTTATATACTCAATGTCTGTATAATCCTTGTGTTTTCTTTCTTTCCTCCTGTGGATTGTCATCAGTGGACCTGGGTTACTAGCAAGCGATCCTTGTTTGTGGCCTGTATGAGGCTTTTTGATTTCTGGGTGGGCAATTCCATTTGTGATTATTATCCAGGAAACACTAAAGTTATGTCACATTATCTACATTCAGAGGGCAACTAACCCTACATAGAACAATGAGTGAGAGAATATAAAATATCCTCACTTTTGAAACTGTCCCTTGTTAATGACAGAAAGAGTGGATTTTTTTTTTTTAATGCTGACTCAGGAATACTATCACTACAAAATTGCCACTATGCACATACATGTTTTCCTCCAAGATATCCATAAAATCTATTTCATAAAACTCTTAGTGCCCAGGGGCCTCCCTGGTGACCTAGGGTTAAAGTGAGCACTTTCATCTCTTTGGCCTGACTCTGATCCCCGCCCCGGAGGTGACCCGCATGGCGCGGCAGCCCTACCCTGACCCTCCTGCTGCTCCCCTCAGCAGTGTGTTTCAGTCCATCTGCCTGCTCTGCTCCCAGCTCTGACTATGGTGAAGCCTCTCACTCCGCTCTACTGCCTGCACCCTTGTTCTTCTGCACAAAATAAAACTTAAAAAACAAACACTGCCTTGGTGATGGGAAACCCGCGGGGATTACAATTGAGATGGGGGGAAAAATGCACAAAATAAACTTATAAAAAAGCAAAACAAAAAAAAAAACACTGCCTACAGATTACTCACCTTCCTTCAGGCCAAAAATACACTGATGCATTTATGGAACACTCGATTTATCGAACATTCTTTGAGTTATGAATCATTTCATATGTAATTTTATTTCATATGTAGTTTTATAAAAGTCTTTATTAAATTAAAATAAACACGGACTTTAAAACCTCAAGACAAACACACACAACACAAATAAACACAAATATAAAATCAGAGTTCACTACATCTTTATTCCCT